TACCTTTCCCAAGGGTCAGCCCAGATATGTTCCATGCGTGATAATCTTTCGATACATGACTGAAAAGAAAGATTTTTTCCTGAGGTAGGTTATAATTTCAATCTGCAGTAGACCAGTTGTCATCCAATGCTACAGAACCCGGTCTGTCCTGCTATTTACCCATAGCTGGGGGGAGAAGAAGAGGATTCATACCTTTCCCAAGGGTCAGCCAGATATGTTCCATGCGTGATAATCTTTCGATACATGACTGAAAAGAAAGATTTTTTCCTGAGGTAGGTTGCAATTTCAATCTGCAGTAGACCAGTTGTCATCCAATGCTACAGAACCCGGTCTGTCCTGCTATTTACCCATAGCTGGGGGGAGAAGAAGAGGATTCATACCTTTCCCAAGGGTCAGCCAGATATGTTCCATGCGTGATAATCTTTCGATACATGACTGAAAATGAGAAAGGTTTTTTTTTCCTGAGGTAGGTTATAGAATTTCAATCTGCAGTAGACCAGTTGTCATCCAATGCTACAGAACCCGGTCTGTCCTGCTATTTACCCATAGCTGGGGGGAGAAGAAGAGGATTCATACCTTTCCCAAGGGTCAGCCAGATATGTTCCATGCGTGATAATCTTTCGATACATGACTGAATAGAAAGATTTTTTCCTGAGGTAGGTTGCGATTTCAATCTGCAGTAGACCAGTTGTCATCCAATGCTACAGAACCCGGTCTGTCCTGCTATTTACCCATAGCTGGGGGGAGAAGAAGAGGATTCATACCTTTCCTAAGGGTATTAGCACGTAAGTGAATGTAATAGTTTTGACTGGAATTCGAACTCGGCTCTCCGATTCCTCAATCCGAGCCGCTATCCATTACTCCACCGCACCTCCTCTAAAGCTGGTGAAAACTGCAAAATCTTTGCTTTCAGTTCATCTTTGTTTTTACAAGGAGCTTTGTTGGTCTCTCGCTCAACTGCAACCCACACATAATAATGAAGCAACGTTGCAGTCTGGGGTGTTAGGTGGCCAAATTGTCTGGCAGCCATGACTGGGTCCTCCTGCTTGTGTGGTATTGTGCAGATTCCTGTTGCCAGACAGAGAGTCTTGCAGCAGCCACCCTCTTGACCCAAAGCACACTCCCTCCTCAAGTCACTTGATGTTGGTCCCCGTGTTGAATCTGAGGCCCTCAACAATTCGGGAGTCTTTTTACATTAGAACGATTAGAGTGAGTTTTCGTAGCTGTTGTAATCCCCATTAGACCTATTCACTTCTTTCTGAATCCTTTACACTGTCCACAGATCGACACCCAAACACTTCCGACGTGAATGCCAAGCAGTACAGCATACCACTTTCAAATGGCTGGCGGACTGAATTGCACCATGGTGCACTTTTTTTCCGACAGATGGCGCTCAACCCACACTTACTATACTATGCAGTTGACAAACCAAAATACAAAGACAGAGCATGCGCGAAATTAAAAATATAAAATGTCGACAATTTAGCCATTGCACCCTTCAGTTATGTAATTGTAATGGAGTATTTTTTAATTTTTTTTAAAGAAAGGTGATATTTAAAAAAAAAAAATCTCCGCGGCGCAGATTTATATTTTGGCCCTTCAGATCTACAAATCAACAATTCGCACTTGCATGGAGTATTTCTGCCATATATGGTCTGGAGCCCCTTCTGTTTGCCTCGGGGTTATTGATAGGCTCCAGAGGGGGATATGCAATATAATTGGCCCTGCTCTGGCATCACGTCTACAGTCACTTTCTCACAGACGCGTCGTCGCCTCTCTCTGTCTGTTTTACAAATACCGTCATGGCAATTGCTCCGAGGAGCTGCATTCGCTGGTTCCCAGACTTCATGAGTTCAAGCGCCTTACGAGGCTGGCATCCCGCTCTCACCCCTTCCTTGTCGAAACTCCTAAATGTAGCCGTCTCTTCTACTCCAATAGCTTTATGTCTCGCATCTCTCGCCTGTGCAACTCCCTTCCCTATTCCAGTTTCCCTGAGAGCTATAATCTCCAACTATTCAAATGTAATGTCAATCGACATCTCCAGTTTTCTTGATCTATCCACTACCCTTCTCCTCATCCTTTCTTCTATCACTCCTATCTGATCTCGCTCCAAATTTTCTGTAACCCCTTGCGTCCTAGTGGCTTCCCGCCTTGCTTGGGGTGAAACGCTTAAAAAAAAAAAAAAAAGATTTGACGCCATTCTCAAGAATTTTCTGAAGAACATTTATTGAATTTTCTTCGAAGTATATTTATAAGCGTCTCCGAATTTAAAAACTTCCGGAAAACTAACGAGATTTTTATGACTGTTTATAAGCACTCGTTAGAAAATCATTACATTTCCCTTGATCATGTCTATCCGAGGAAATAACACGTCGACTAAGAAGATATTTTCCTTTAAACTTTGTTTACACACACACACACACACACACACACACACACGCACGCACACGCACACACACACGCGCACGCGCACACACACATTTTTCCAATGAAACATGACCCAGTACACATGTTAGTACTTCATATGTCCTTTCCACAAAGTCTTTCCTTGCAGATTGACCACAAATTCTCAATTGGATTTAAATCAGGAGAGTTTCCCGGCCAGTCGATACTACTTTCATTTGCTCACTGGTAAGGCTTGCCAGTGTGTCCACGCAACGTTACAATTTTCGTACGTTTCCTTGGAGTAATGTCTATCGCAGAAAATGGCCGTAGGACAACTAATCGACAGTCGAGACAATAGTGTCATGGATGACGCAATATTTTCAACGCCAGACAAATTTTATTAGGCACCCCGAAAATAGATTTATGTTACTTCACACCACTGCAAATGATTTAAACTGATGAAAAAATAAAAATCAATTACACCCTGTCACTCCAGTTGGTCTAAAACAAACCGAATGGTGACAGAAATGAAACTAAAGCAGTTGTTTCAATTAATTTACACAAGTATATATATATATATATATATATATATATATGTATATATATATGTATGTGTGTGTGTGTGTGTGTGTGTGATATATTGCTATATTTATAGCAGGAGGGTGCTCAGTGTCCTGGATAGTGAATTTGTACATTGTTTACATAAAAATCAACAGTGAATAGCAATCACTGGGGGATTAAGCGAAGAAAGGCTGTAGGGAAACGCCCTTCCCACTTCTTTTTTTTCTGTTTCTGTTGTTTTCTGTTATCGATTCATGGCCATGGACTCTAGATAGCTTTTTTTATGCTGGTTGGGTGGTTGGGAATGTAAGTCTATGCATATTTAAGTATTATTTATGGTCATCAATTCTATATTGCTTTCTCCTTTCTTCTTTATATTTCTTTTAATTATTTGTTTTGTATATTTGTTTCTTTCTTCTATTTTGCATCTAGTTTTGGTATTTCGAATAATATTTCTTAGATTAAGGGTTGAAATTTATTTAGTCATTTCGATTATGGTTAGATTGTAGGTAGCGGAACAGGAATCTGTTTTTGTGTTTGCTTATGAAAATGAGCTCTTAAATTTGTTTCGAAGTTTATCTTGTCTGGAAAGTTAACTATTACCTTTTCTCCTCCCTGCAAATGGTATTTGTGAAATTAACTGTTTCCTCATACGGAAACATTCGGCATCCACTAAAATAACATTTAGTCGGTTGAATTTTGTATACCCTTACCTTCAATATATTTGTTTCAGAAAAATGTTTTTCCTGTCCACTAACAATTACCGCTCACTCTGATATTGGCAGGAGTTTCATTCCTCACTCAGGGGTGGCGCTGTTGTAATTTGGTGCTGGTTATTAATTTCCATGTGATTTTTATGTTTTGGTTTATGTTTTTGAATTGCCATGTATATTTTGAAAGCATAGTATTATTTTCATATTTTTCTCATTAAATGATCTTTTGTGCAAGCTGATAGTCTGGTTCAAGGGTTCTTCTATTATTCCTATATATATTTTTTTGGCGGGGAGAGTTTCTTTAGTTTACTGTAGCGTTGTATATAAACTTATTTGGCAAACAGTTAACATTTGGTGGGCAGCGTAATTTGTTGGACAGATACAGATGACTTTAGTGGGTGTTTGTGTCGTATTGATGATATTTATGGATTTTTTTTTTTTTGCAGTTCTGCTAAGTTTTTAGAGTTGTATATATATATATATATATATATATATATATATATATATATATATATATATATATATATATGTTAATTCTACTTGTTTTAAAATTTTTATTATATGGGAGGTTGAACCATGTGATATTTCTATTTCTGTTGGAATTTTTGTCCTGGACGTTTTTTTTTCTGGTAGGTGTTGCTGATAAACCAATGTCTTTTATTTCTATGTTATACTCGCTTTTGCTTTTTTTCGTTTGACGAATTCTATGTTAATGCCGTGTGTACGTTCACTTTCATATAAATTACCTTTGGAATCCCATGAATCTATCTTTTTTTCTTTGTAAGGGGCTATGTTTAAACAGTTGGGTTGACTGGGCTGTTTAGTACGCCGTGGTAGCCAAAGTCGAGGAATACCACTCTGGATTAAGAAAAACTTCTATCTCACCCAAGCAATTCACAGATAAATAAAAAAAATGGAAGAGTTGAGAACCATGATCAATTATATGGATTGAAAAAAAACCTTAAAAACCACCTGTCAAACAGCTATATGAGCAGACAAAAAAAAATTGAAGAAGAAAAATTGAGAAATACCAGGATTTCACCCGGGAGCTTAAAAAGATTGAAACATAATAAAATGGTGACCATAACAGTCGGTGCTCTTGGAATCTTTTCCAGAACGAAAATTATTAAAATCATTATATTACAAATTCCAAGTTTACATTTTGTTTCGACATTTGCTAGGATTTGGTAAGATACTGAGGAAGATTCTGGAGATTTGGAGAAACCTGTACACGCCCTTCTCCTGAGATATAAGCATTCAAATACATAAACTAAACAAAATAAGAATAAACCAGACCTTACAACGTTACTACTATTTATGACAGAGACATAAGAATTGAAAATGTCTTTCTTCTCGTACTCTTCATTTGCTGTTCGAAGATTATTCACTTCAACGCTCATTTCACTTCTCTTTTTTTTTTGTAACTTTTGTCTTCGCCATAGTTTCGTATTCTCTATGTTTTCATTTGTTGCCCTTTTCATTCTCGTTAATGTTCGATTGTCCTGATTATTCAAATTTCGCCAGCCTTTCCTGACTTGTCTTTTTCTTTACTTTCTCGCTTCTCATGATAGCTTTTCTTTTTTATACTCATTTTATATTTTCCGCTGATTCTTTCTTTCTTTCTTTCTTTCTTTCTTTCTTTCTTTCTTTCTTTCTTTCGTTATTTGCAATCCTTCTTGGTTTCTTTTTATAACTTTGTTTCTTCCTTTCTTTCTTTTTTCTTTCTTTCTTTTTTCTTTCTTGCTTATTCCATTCGGTTATTCTTTCTTTCTTTCGTATTCCATTCTATTATTTTCCTTTCCTTCTCTCTGTCTTTCTTTTCCCATTCCGTCACCCTTTCTTTCTTTCTTTCTTTCTTTCTTTCTTTCTTTCTTTCTTTCTTTCTTTCTTATTCCATTCTGTTATTCATTCTTTCTTTCATTCATTTTTTTCTTTCTTTCTTTCTTTCTTTCTGCATTTTTTCATTTTTTTTCGCATTCTTGTAATACCTATTATTATTTTTATTAATTTTGTATAGAGTCTGATTCTTCTTTCTTTCTTTCTTTCTTTTTTTCTTTCTTTCTTTCTTTCTTTCTTTCTTTCTTTCTTTCTTTCTTTCTTTCTTTCTTCCCGGTGCCAATCTTTTGGTATTTATTTCAAATTCCATTACGCTTTGTTTCGCTCTTTTCTACATTTATTTTTTATCCCTGTTCCTTTCTCATCTACATTATTCTTCCTTTATTTTTACACTACATTGCACCTTTTTTTTTTTCTATCTTTCTTTCTTTTTACTTTCTTTCTTTCTTATTCCATTCCGTTATTATTTCTTTCCTTCTCTATTTCTTATTACATTCCGTTGTACTTTCTTTCCTCCTCTCTTTTTTATTTCATTCATTTATTCTTTCTTTCCTTCTCAGTTTCTTTCTTATTCCATTCCGTTATTTTTTCTTTCCTTTTCTTTTTGTTTTTTATTCCATTCCGTGATTCTTCCTTTCCTTCTCTCTTTTTTTCTTATTCCATTCAGTTATTCTTCCTTTCCTTGACTCTTTCTTTTTTATTCCATTCCGATATTCTTTTTTCATTCGCTTATTCTTTTTCCTTCCATTCCGTATTTCTTTCTTATTCCATTCTGTAATTCTTTCTTTCTCTCTTTCTTTCTTATTCCATTCCTTTATTATTTTTCTTCCTTCCTTTCTTCCTTCCTTTCTTTCTTTCTTTCTTTCTTTCTTTCTTTTTTTCTAATACCTATTATTTTTTATTCATTTTGTATTTTGATTGTCTTTATTCTTTCTTTCTTTCTTTCTTTCTTTCTTTCTTTCTTTCTTTCAATCCATTACTAGTTTTTTTTTTAATTTTTTTCTATTCAACACGTTTTCCTTTTTCTCTGTCTCTTTTTATTTCATTCAAAATTATTCTTTTTCATATTTTTCTTTCCTTTTTTGATTTTGCTCTTTGTTCTTTTCTTTCTAATTTCTTTCTTTCTTTCTTTATATTTTTTCTTTCTTTTTTCCCTTACTTTTTTATTTCTGCCACTCATTTTCTTTTTCCCCTTAAAATGTTCCTTTCCTTCTTTCCCTTAAGTTTTTCATAATTCTTTTTCCTTAGGTTTTAATTTCCTTTCCTTTCTATTCCTTCCTCTTTTTCTCCGTCATCTTCATCTTTCTTTCTGTCTTTTTCTTCTGTTTCCATTTTCGCATATCTTCTCTAATTTTCCATTTCTTATTTTTTTCCTTCGTTTATTGTCGTCGAACTTTTTTTTTATCATCCTTCTATTTTTTTTTCCATTTCCGCTTTCCATTTTATTTTAAATTTTCTTCTCTTATCGCCCAAATTCTTCATCTCCATGCAAACGTCACTTTGTCGTGCGCATGTCGGACCCCTGGCGGGCCTCCCATTGCCGTTAATTTCAATTTGCATATTCCTTGTTCTAATCTGAATTTCACACATGATAGACTGAGTAACACCTATGCACTTACTACGAACAGACTCTAAGCAAGACCTTTATCGCCAGGAGCAAGAACATTATTATTTCATGAGCAGTGGGTATAGGAGTTGTTATTTACTCAGGTCAGCCTAGTTGTGGCACAAGACAATCAATATGGCGCGCTCAGTAAACATTGAATTCACTACGCAAAAGTAATAGCCAACCAGAGTAATACAAGTCCCAAGAGCCTCTCAAGCTAGGCAGTTACTGAACGTCAGAAGATGAGATAAGTATTGCAGTTTATGAGAATATGTAGGAAAGACAACGATTAAACCTAAACTTGAAGAGGTAGTGATCGACGAAAACTCTGCTCGGGAGCCTGTTCCTGTTATACCGGAACATACCTATTCTATTGTTAATAGACTCTCCCACAGATAATAAGTAGTAGTAGTAGCAGTCGCCAGGGGGCTCAGAGTGAGTGGGTGAGTCAGTCAATGTCGGACATTAAAGTATCAACCACCACAACTAGATTGCTGCGTCATTAACTATTATTTCAAGTTCCTAACGTTTTGTACGTCGAACTTTGTTTAGGACCGACTCAGTGAAATAGAAGCCTCCACTGTGAAAACTACTCTACAACAGTTCCACAAAGATGCGCTTATGGGGAATTAGCCATCCGAATGGAATGTTCTTTTTATTGATGTAATACCAAAAGAATAGCCGTCCAGAGTATGACGATAAACTACATCCGCGTCCAGGGTAAGACGATAAACTACGTCCAACAGCAAGGCCTCTGATCAGGAGGTTTTGAGGGTCCCAGCTGTGGGCAAATAGTTAACCCCGAAACTGAGGTAAAGAGCATTATAAAAGTGTGAAAATAGGTTTTAATACTAGAAATACTTTGTAAAAAATTATTACCAGAAATAAATTTTTGAAGAAAAAATAAACTATTACCAGCAATACAGTAAGCAAGGAGGCGGGTAAAGAGAGAGTGAAAGTGAAATTGAAGACTGAGAATAAGGAGGATTGTAGAATGGAGAAAAAGATGAACGGAATTCAAGTAGAGAGAAGACAGCCATTGACGTTGCATTTACATTTTTGAAGAGTGTAGTCATCAGGCAAAGCAAGGAAACGGAAGGGAGTTTCTCAAACGGGAAGCTCAAGGAAAAACCTGTTGGAGTAGAAGAGGCGGCTGCATTTAGCTATTTCAAAATTAACCGGGTGGGGCATATATGCTAATCTAGTAGTCTGTTTAGATTCAAGTAGTCAGGGCTCCTGGGGTGGGTGGACCCATCAGAGTAGTTGCCATGAAAATATTTGTAGAAAAGACAGAGGGAAACCACGCCAAGTCGGCGAGAAAGTGACTGAAGTCGAGATGCCAAGTCAGGATCGATTACATTACATATCCTCCATTGCATAGTGTCAAGAATCTCCAGATGTACAGCAGGAGCACCCGACCAGATATGGCTGCAATATTCAATGCACGGACGAATGCTAGATTTGTAAATGTGCAAGATGGATTCTGACGAGAAAAAAACTTTCTGCCGCGACACATTGGCCCAGCTATCCTTGCAGTAAATACAGCCGTTGGTTCGATGTAGTCGCTTAACTTCAAGAGAGTGGAAAACCTGAGACCAAAAGTCGCTATGTGTTCTTCTCCTTCAGTCTAGTTTCAGCCATGCTGGTGGCAGATACAGAATGTTGTCTATGGTGGTTAAATGAATGCAGTTTTGTTTTGGAGGGGTTAAAATTTATGCGAAGGATAAACACCTTGCAAACGGATTTCTTGCTCTTTGTGCCCAGGGTTATTGATTCCATCAACAAGAATCTCTCTTTTTCGTTTTACCAATATTTCTTACTGTTATTAAGTCTGGTGCGAATTTTTACAAGATTGGAGATGACATGATTTCAATTTCCATATATTATGCGCGCTTGTGACTAACTTTTTTGTCTTTTAACGCAACATTTCCATTATTATAATTTCGACCTAACTCCTATTTTTAATTTGGAGCATGCGCGTTGTTTGTTTTTGATATTGTCAGCTGCATAGTATAGCAGGGTCTGTTGGGAACCGTCTGTGAGAAAAAGAGCACCGTGAAGCATTTTACTCCGCCAGAAATTTGGAAACAGTATGTTGTACTGCTTGGCATTCGCGCATGAAGCTCAATACGAACATTTCATTGTGTCAGTCTGAGGACACTGCAGAGGATTCGGAAAAAGTTGGATGAGTCTAATGGTGATTACGAGTGATCCCTAGCGGTGGCCATGTTATGCCTGTATTTCTCTTTCCACAGGGCCTCAGACTCAATACGATGGCCTATATCAATTGCCTTGAGGTAGTAGTGTTGCCCTGAGTCAAGAGAGTGGCCGCTGAAAGAACCTATATCTGACAATATGACTCTGTACTATGGCACACATGCAGGAGAACCCAATCATGGCTGAGAGAAATTCTGCGACTACATCACCACGTACATCTGGTCACCTAACTCCCCACACTGCAAACCCCTCATGTGTGGGCGCAGTTGAGCGAAAGACCAACAAAACTCCTAGTAAGACCAAAGATGAACTGAAGGCAAGGATTATGGCAGCATTCACCAACTTAAACAAGAAGATCATCCAGAAGAGTTACAGGAAATTCCGAAGTCATCTAGAGGCCGTGGTTGAAGCCAATGGCGATTTCATTGAATATATTTACCCATTAGTATTTCAGATATTTTTGTGTAATTTTGGTAAATATATCTGTTAAAACAAAATGTCAGTATTATTTTCATTTTTGCGAAATTTAAACGACAATTTATCCATCGCACCCTGTACACGCGCGGAATACCAAAGTATATATCACCCGCATCTTTGTGTTAATAATAACAAAGATTATGATAACAGACTGATTGAATGAATGGCATATTTCTGCATAAATCAAGCTTAAATAAGATAAATGCAGTAAAAAATTGAACTTTGTATTATTTCACAGAATTAAGCACATCAAATGATATGCAAAACTAAACAATTGTTACATACGGCCATGATAGCAAATATGCCAAATAAAGTTACTTCGATGGAATATTTTATGGATGGGATTTTTGCAAACATCAGATAATAATAATAATAATAATAGGACACGTTACAATTTTATGAGACTACACAATACACACTGAAAGAAAAAAGCCAACCGCCCAGACATTGTTATTAAAGGCCACAAACAAAAAAAGTGCCTCCTTATTGATATGGCAGTCCCTGCAGACTGCAATGTATCTTTGAAGATATTCAAAAAGCTGGACCTTGAAATAGAAATCAACAATCCCTGTTGTAGTTGGAGCCCTAGGATTGGTTGGAAAAGATTCCAGTAAGACTAATTGAAGGGATTCCTGGAAGCCCATGCCTCAAAGAAATACAAAAATTGTTCTGACAAGTACAGCCCACACTTTACGAAGGCCTTTATCTATGTAATTTTTTTTTTTTTTTTGTCAGTGGAAAGTGTCATGATATCATTTCTAACCTTACGTCCCTGGACGGGACCCGGAAAGAAATCTGTAAACGCCAGAAATCAAAGGAAATAATAATAATAATAATAATAATAATAATAATAATAATAATAATAATATTGAAAAATACTCCGATAAACCTCATTGAAAGAATTTCTCGAAGCCCATACCTTAAATTGTTCATTATAGCTCATAACTTACGAAGGGCATTAAATCTGTAAAATGTGTGTGATCTAAGGTTGTTTTTTTATTGTATCTTTATTTATTTATTCATGTTTTTACAAGTATGTCCAGGGAAAAATGTTAAGACGCCATTTCTGACCTTAAGTCGCCTTGATTTTCAGGAAGAAAATCAGTACACAACCGAAACAATAATAATAATAATAATAATAATAATAATAATGGCATATGTGCACTGGAAGATATGGAAGAAGCACAAAATCAGAACCACTGAGAGATAATATGACCACCAACCAGACATGGGCAAAATAACGATGTAACTATCCTCTAGGACATGACAGTTCAAAACAGGGAAATAAAAGCCAACAGACCTGATATCATAAAACAAGAAATTCAGGAAATATATGCTTATTGACACAGCAGTACTATATGAGAGAAAATTATCAAGAAATTGTTCAAATACAAGGACCTGGAGATCGATATTAACGGGATGCGGGGAATGAAGACTGAGCCTGTATCAATAGTAATCGGAGCTCTGGGCCTCGTGAGAAAAGGAATGGACAATTTTACTAACTGTCTACCGCGTCTAACATCTCTCCATCAACATACAAGTTGCCCAGAAAATCGCCCTACTAGTAACATCCCATATATTACGAAAAGTGCTATTAATCAAATGATAATTCTCCTATAGGGTCTAAGGACCATAGTTTGGACCAGTCTCTACAGGATACAAAGCAGGAAACATAATATACACAAATAATAATAATAATAGCATTTTCGAAAGTTTCACGGTTTTGCCATTTGAATTTTCATAACTCTTAAGTTAATGAATACGTTCCTTGACAGTTCCTCAACCCTAAGAATCATGAAAATTCCCCTATTTTATTGATAAATATTTAAGCTTAACAACTTTAACCCAATATTGTAATAAATCATAAGTATGAACGCAGGTCATTATTTAAAGAAGTAAGAGGGTACAAATGAAAAATTTCAAACTTATCACGATTTCCATTTCACTGAAGCAGACGTTAAAAACATGACAGCATTCTCGCTTTCCCTATCTTCATAATCATTGTTTCCTTTTTTTTCTCACTGAAACCAAACAGCGTCTCTGATATGTCTTTTCTCTCCTTCCACATGGGCCGTGACCTACATGCTAACGTACTAAAAAACAAAGCAACTAACAGAAGTATAATATAATAATTAATACTATAGACTTTCTGTGGAGCATATGACCACAACCTTATCACGCGAGGTGCTGCTGGTGTTGTTTCCGTAGCAAATTATGGACTGAAGTTGTTAGCCCGATTACCGAATTGTTCTTCTCCTAGACTGGTTACTAACCAAAACTAGAGAGGCCCAATCTACGTCGATATTAATCCCCTAGCTGAGTGGGGAAGTGATTACTTCATAACTTTTTCAATGGGATTAGTAAAATGGTAATTTCAAGTTCAATTTAGGACTAATCAAAGTCATTTGGGGATTAAGCAAATTTATATTAAAATAGCCAAGTTCATAATGAAATAGCCAAGTTCAAAATGGAATAATCAAATTCCAAATGGGATGTAGCAAATTCCAAATGGGATAGTCAAATTCAAAATGGGATGTAGCAAATTCAAAATGGAATAGTCAAATTTAAATTGGAACATAGCAAATTCAAAATGGAATAGTCAAATTTAAATGGGGACATCAAATTCAAAATGGAATAGTCAAATTTCAATATAGCAAGTACAAAATTTAATGGTCAAATTTAATTTGGGATATAGCAAATTCCAAATGGGTAGTCAAATTTACATTAGATTATATCAAATTCAAAATTGAATAGTCAAATTTAAATTGGGATATAGCAAATTTAAAATGGGACTAAGCAGATTGAAAATGAAATAGTCAAATTGAAAATGGAATAACCAAATTTGATTTGGGACTTAGAAATTTCAAAATGGATTAGGCAAATTCAATTTGGGACTGAGCAATTATTTTGCTAAAAAGACTTTGAAATTAAATATTTTCATGATAATAATGTCTTGATATACACATTCATTATTTCCTTTCCTTGCTGTTTTTTCTTAAGACTTTCGAGATTTGCCTTGTTGTCCCGTAAATGTCCCATTCTGAACTTGGCTATTTCCTTTTGAATTTACTACGTCCCATTCTGAACTTGGCTATTTCCTTTTGAATTTACCACGTCCCATTCTGAACTTGGCTATTTCCTTTTGAATTTACTATGTCCCATTCTGAACTTGGATATTTCATTATGAATTTATGTCCCATTCTTAACTTGGATATTTTATTATGAACTTGCTTAGTCCCAAAATGACTTTGATTAGTTCTAAATTGAACTTGAAATGGTATAGAATTTGAAATCAGTCAACTAATTTCATTTCCAGCGCCGATAAACGCTAGGCTAAGCGCACATATGCAAATGATTATACAACTTTCACAACTATCGCTTGTATTAGGTTGGTGCAAAAATAATGACGTATTTTTTACGTCATTATTTGAAAAACCAACCTAATAGATAAAAATATTGATCACGGCGAAAAAATTGTTTCACTATATATGCAAACTTTTATTAGGTATTTAGTTTTTAAAATCACAGCTTTGTGTCTCATTTCACATATTTAATTTTTAATCTATTCTTATATATGTAAAATGTTTTATAATATATACGCAATTAAAAACAAAACAAAACAAAAAACAAAACAAAAAGACCGGTTCCAAGGGTGAATCTAATGGCTTATCTGCCGTTTGCATGTTATTTAACACTTTTCACGACAATTATTTTATAAAAATGTTTCATTTTCAGACATTTTTTTAATTTGTTTTTATTATAGTAACTAATAAACTGAGACAGCATGAAGTACTCGAGTGGTGGCTAACATTTCTTCCAGGCATATGAGTTGACAAATGCACTCGTTTCAAGCCCAGACGGGCATAAAAAGAATAAAGATTGACGTATAAAAACGTCTGCTGATGCTGGCTTTATGTTAAACTTTTTCGCTAAAAGCGTATTACAGCCAGAATTTTTTTTTAGATTGTGAGAATGTTTTTGAGATAATAACGAATTAGTGTTACAAGTCTTATTAATTAACTCATAGCAAGTGTAAAGAAACGTGAATACATAGATTTCCCAGGAGAGTTTGCGCGTAAGCCAATATAACGAACCCAACTGGAATTAGAACTCAACTCTCCGAGTCATTATCCATTACACCACCGGAACATCCAGGCTTATAACACGTGGTATTCTCAGACGGTCACCACTCTAGCTACTGACCAGGCTCGACTTTGCTTAACTCCAGTGATAGTACGGGAACTGGTGGTTCAATCTGTTAACTAGATAAAGGAAAGAGTGACATGGACCAAAGAAGAATAGAAGACGGACGTGATTTTCAGTTGTTCGCAATGTTAAAAGAAGTTCACTTCAGTTGTTCGCAATATCGAGAATGTTTTACAGATAGATAGATAGATAGATAGATAGATAGATATGTACAAAATGAGAAAAATAGGAACTGACTGAGGTACATAGATAGGAAAAGACTTATATATATATATATATATATATATATATATATATATATATATATATATATATATAATTCAGGTATGCAGAAAATAGAAAAGTACACGTTGGGTGCATAATCCAGAGTTCCTTAGATACTTTTTCTTTTTTATTTTTAAGAAGACAGTGCTCCATACATAAGTAGAGCTTATATTATAATAATATTTTTTGTTTAAAATATGATTCCTTTTACATAAAGTTCTCTTGAGAATTTATAAAAGAAGAATCAGTAAACAATATATATATATATATATATATATATAGATATAGATAGATAGATAGATAGATAGATAGATAGATAAGATAGATAGGATAAAGAAATAAAAGACAGACAGATTGAACATTTTAGATAGATAGATAGATAGTTAGAAAGATAGATAGATAGATATGTACAGAATGAGAAAATAAGAATGACTGCGGTACAAATAGGGAAAGACCTATATAGGATAAATACGATCAGACTGATAGAATAGATAGATAGATAGATAGATAATGGGATCAGAATGAAGATAGATAGATATAGATGATAGATATGTACAGAATAAAAAAATAGGAAATACATATATGATAGGAATATATATATATATATATATATATATATATATATATATATATATATATATATATATATATATATATATATATATATATATATAAGACAGGTATGCAGAAAATAGAAAAAAGACGTAGATGAATAATCCAGAGTTTTAGTACTTT